TGCTCCTTGGAAACCATGTGGGGCAGTTCTGCCCTGTCTGTAGGGTCGCTGTGAGTCGGAATCAACTCTATGGCCGCGGGTTTGTTTTTGTTTTTTTGGTGAGGAGCCTGTTTTCATGGGTCTCTTGCCAGTCTTAGAGGTAGCTGTGGAGTGTTTTCCCGTGTTAAGCCGTCGTTGGGACTCTGCTGACTGCCGCGCGTTTTCTTTGATCAGTGTTAGGACGGCATACCGTGTTTCCTCCACATCCAAGTCTTTAAGTATGTTTTAAAAATTTATGTTTAAATTTCTCTGAAATCAGAAGGTGTTTTTTGATAGTTACACGTAATGTAAAATCCTTCCCCTTCCCAAACAGATAGTAAACCAAAGGTCCACTGAGTTGATGGGGTCTGCAGAATCGAGGCAGTAAGGTGTATGTGTTGGAGACTGGAGATTTCGTCTGATGAGGATATGGTGGTGATACGCTTCCTTTAGAGGCAAGCTTGTTGCCTCTGGAACATTCGGTGAAGAAAACGGGTTGTTTACCAGCGGCTTTAGCTCTCGTGCTGTCCTGCGGGGTGGGGGAGGCCTCTAGCCCCAGAGTAGGGTGTCATGTTTTTTTTGATGATGACACTTAGTAAAAAAAAATATATTTTACCTTTTGACCAAATACACTTGTACATACCCTGAACCAAACCCACTGCTGTCAAGTCGATTCCGACTCATAGCAGCCCTGTAGGACAGGGTAGAACTGCCCCAGAGGGTTTTCAAGGCTGTGATCTTTACGGAAGCAGATCGTCACATCTTTCTTCTGCCACTCACTCACTCACTCACTCACTCACTCACTCACTCACTCACTCACACTCACACACTTTCACACACACACACACACACACACAGAATGTTTCATGAATTTACTGTGTTTGATGCACTCTGATATATTTCCTATCGCATTAAAAAAAAAAAAATGCTGGCCTCAGCCCACTCAATTGATTTCCCTAAGCATTAGATCTCAGTTGATTTCTCAGCTCACTGATGGGTCACAGCCCACCCTTTGAAAAACTGCTCTACAGAGTTGATTAACCAGGGAGGAGAAAGGCTGCGTTCGTACAGGTACCGTGCAGCTTCCTGTAGCCTGTGTGAAGCGGTAAAATAAAAGGTTGATGAAGCGCCAGTAAGTTAATAAGATAAAATACCGTAACAGGTGGCTGCTTGCCGAAAGGCTGGAGGTTCAGGTGTACCCACGGGCACCTTGGCAGGAAGGCCTGGCGATCTACTTCTGAAAAATCAGCCATGGAAAACCCTGTGCAGCACAGTTCTGACACACACGGGGTCGCCATGAGTCAGAGCTGACTGGATGGCAACTGGGGAAAGTGTTGTCCAGGAGTTAAAACTCCTGCTGATGATCCAGCAGTTCCTTTCTTTGAGTTTAGTAAGATGGTCAAAGGCAGCCACCGACCAGCCTCTCCTCACTGTGAGGCCGGGGGAAGCTTTTGTGGTCGGGTTGGGTTTTTAAAGTGGAAGCTGAGGCTGAGATCTGCGGACAGCAGGCGGCCTCCGGCCAGAGCACAGCCAGGGAGGCTAACAGGCTGCCGCCCACGGCGGAGTTCAAGGTTTAGGTGAAGACCAGAAGGGAGGGCGCCTGCGTGGCTGCTGGTGAAGCCCAGCTAGGTGATTGGCCTTCAGTCCCTTCCTCCCTAGCGCTAACCGCCGGCTGGCATACCTAGCAACGTGTCCTTCAGCATCGACAAGGAGACTGAAGTGCATTCTCCGGCGGAAGAAAGGGGGCAGTTCTAACCAAATGTATATGAAAACACATTCTATCCTGGAACATTTAAGGAAAAACGGGTCCTAGATGGTGAACTGGAGCCACTGTGGTGTTTAAAGTTTTCGGTCTGGGTTTTGAAGCGTGATGGACTTGTTTCCGTGTTTACAGAATCTTGTGGAAGAAGAACGAAGTTGCCGACTACGAAGCCACAGCGTTTTCCATCTTTTATAACAACACCCTCTTCCTGTTCCTGGTCATTGTTGCTTCCTTCTTCATCCTGAAGAACTTCAACCCCACGCTGTATCCTTCTGATGGCTAAGTACCTGTTTTCAGAGGTCTGCAAACAGTCGTTCTCTTGCATTTGACCTGTCGGGGGGTTTTAGTCGAGAGAAAAACCGCACTGGGATCAGTCCTTTGAACGGCACTGTGGTCTTGCGGGAGGTTTCTGGACGTTTAAAATACGGGGTTTAGGTTTGGGGCCTACTGTTTTTTAAATTTATCACTTATGGCTTTATGATGGATAACAAGTACCATAAAGCAGTCTTAT